CTTTCTCCAGGGAGGGGAAGAGGGGGCGGTGGCTCTTGCCTCCGCCTCGCGGTCAAGTCCGGCTCATGCTCCAGCCTGGCGCGCGCGCGCCCAGCCCCGGTCCTCCTCCCGTACCCGCCCCTCGGTCAGCTGCAGCCGCACCCGCCGCCGACACTCGAGCCTCCCGCCACCGGCCCCACACGGCCCGCAGCCCTAGAGTGAAGCAGCAGGTAACGGCCGCAGCTCGGTTGCCGACCCGGAAGCTCTTCCGCCGCCACCCGCGAGGCTGTCACGGGTGTGAACCCGGAAGCGATTCCCTCGCCCCGGTAGCGGCGGGATGGAAAGCGAAGGCCTGGGACTATCTGGAAACCCCTAGCTCGGGAGAGGGTGAGGCGTTTATGGTGTTGAGGCGCGAAGAGAGGGCAGGACAATAAACGGCCCGTGGGCTAGAGGTTCTCCAAGCCCCAGACCTCCGAGCTCTGGAGGCGCGGGGTCGGGAGCGCGGCCGGACACATCCGGCAACTTCGCGGGCGACCCGGGCAAGGTTTTCCTGTCACAGGAAGTTGGGCCGGCCGCTGGGAGAGGGAAGAGAAGGAGGAATGAGACTGCGGGACGGTCCCCCGCCCCCAGGTGGCTGTCCCACCCCGTGAGGCGAATGTAGCGGCCTGGGAGGTGCTCGGCCGCCCGCACGGGTGAGACGTGGAGCTGCACGATCCAGACTCCAGCGAGAAAGCAGAGGCGGGAGGCTGGACGATCTCCGCATCTGTTCTCTCCAGGCAAGGAATTTGTTTCTTCCCAGCGGCCAACGCCCCTGGCTGGGTGGCAGCTCTGGGAGCGGAGAGGCGTGCCCGGCCGCCCCCGGTGCTGTGGTACTGCCCCACCCGGGCGGCGTGTTTATTGTTGTCATGTCTGGGAAACCTGGGCACCGCACGCCGTTCCCGCTCAGCTCTCCGCGCTGCGCCTCTCTCCATCTTTTAGAGGCTGGGCGCTTTCTGGGTTTGCTTTTAGCCGCACCAGCAGTCTGACCGAGCTGGCCCAGCTCTCTCTCACTTCCATTCTCATCTCACCCCGGGAGAATGGGTGTGTCTTCACAGTTTCTCCCTTCGTCTAGTCTTTTCACGGTTTTGCTGTCCTCATCTCATTTGGAGGAAAGGTCAAAAACTCAAAAATGTTTTCATAGCTATACAAAACAGTTCATTCCGTGATCTTCTTTTCCTCTTAATGTTTCCCCCTTAGAATTGGGGTACAGAGAACCACAGTAACAACTAGTATGTAGCCTGTTTAGATACACTAGGGATATGGTGCTTTCCCCAAATAAGCTCCTTGAATGTACTCGCTGTTCACTGTAGGAATTCACTTGTTTGCCAGTTTCACTTATTACTTAGTTCCTTCTCTGTTAGCCAAATTTAGTGCAGTTGCCTTCGAAAGCTATTTGAAGATTATCAAATATCTTAAATTGAAGAGTAGAATGCCACTTAAAAGGATGCTAAAATTATCAGTGAGGTCTATTGACAAGTGACGAATTGAACGGACAGGGGGAAATCAAGCTGAGGAGCGGCAGCGCTAGTGGGTATTTTCTATTCGGCTTCATTATTACTTCCTCTCTTTTTATTGCCATTAACCAATTTAGGAATGAGGTTTTTATGGTCAAAAATCCCTGTAGGGGAATTCCTGATATTTAGTTCCCATCGCTCCTCTTTAATGTTATAATGCTTTAAAATAGAGGATTTGTTTCAGGAGAATGGGGAAGGGGCAAGTAATTTAGACACTCTACTTGTTTTTTCATCTGTAAAATGGGGATAAAAATAGTCCCTACACCATCAGATTTGTGTGTGTGGGGAGGGGGTGGAATAAAATGAGTTAATTTATGGAAGGCACTTAGCACAGCATCTAGCACAAAATAAGCATTATAGGTGTTAACTATTATTTCTAGTCTTTTAAAAGTATATTAAATTTAGAAAAATGAAAGCAATAAAAACTTAAAGGCAACTTGATAAAAGTCATTTTGGCTGGTAGGGATAAAAATAAAATGCATTTTATTAGTTATTTTCAACTATGGACAGTAAGGCTTGTGGGTTGCTTTGGTTATTTTAAGGTGACATGGATTTTGTTGTTTTTGTTATTTTAATCCTCACCAGATGATATGCTTATTTATTGATTGGAGAGAGAGAGAGAGAGAAACATGGATGTGAGAAACATCAATTGGCTGCCTTGCTTATGGCCCCTGGGCATGTGCCCTGAGCAGGAATCCAGCGCCACTTTCCAGTGTATTGGACGATTCTCCACCCAACTGAGCCACACCAGCCAGGGCTTGACATGGGTTTTAAAGATGAGAAACACTGCTGAAGGATGGAGGAAGGGAGAGCTTTCTTTTTGGTTTCAGGAACATCTTACAGAATCCTAAGATAATGTGCTTTTGGACGAGGGGGAGATGGGGAGGTATTTATGAAGATACATTTTCTGATTATTGGTAATTTCTATTAGCATGTAGTTTACAAACTGGTAAATAAATCATCTTGTTGACTTCAACTTCTGATATGAAATTTATGATCCTTATATTTACACTAGAGGCCCGGTGCACAAAAATTTGTGCTGGATAGGGTCCCTAGGCCTGGCCAGCAATCAGGGCTGATCGGGGGGCCTTCTGGCTGCTGGCCGGGGCCTTCCTTCATTCTGTGCCGCCCCCTGGTGGTCAGCGCACATAATAGCAAGTAATCGAACTCCCAGTTGAACTTGTGAGGGGACACTTTGCATATTAGCCTTTTATATAGAGAGAATATATCCTATATAATAAAGAGGTAGTATGCAAATTAACCCTCACGCACTCACAAAGATGGT